ATTATTATTTATTACCAATTTCAACAAATAATTTGTTACTATTACTGTTGTTTAAAAAGAGAAAGGTCGTTACAATTTATTGTTACTTCTTTAAAGACTATTACAAAGCCAAGTTATATACATTGTATAAAATACACATGCATTTACATTTTTATAATAAAATATATCAATCTATATATATATATATATATATATATATATATATATATATATATATATATAAAGTTTTTTTACAAAATTGGAACAACATTATTATTATATAAATTTAACGTATAAGACGGGCAACAAGAGCCAAATCGCGGATGACAATGCGTTATCCTAACGAAACTAAATAATTTTTCGTTAGAAATAAATACCGGTGCACAAGGCACCAAATTTTACTTGGACACGGCCAAGATTTTTTTAAATATGAAATAATCTCATATTTTGAGATTTAATTTCAATACCCCTTTAACCCCCCTACGGAAAATAAATAAATGAATGCAAGAGAAAATCTCGTGAGAAAAGAATTATTATTATAGTTATCAAGAAAAGCAATTGTAACTGTAATAATTAGTATTTATAATAATAATAATAGTAATATTTATAATAATTATAATAATTTTAGTTTTTTTGTAATTGTAACTGTAATGATGTTATAATTAATGCTTTACTGTGCTCAATTTTTACTTATTTTTATTAGATAATCTAACATTCTATTTTAGTTTAATAATATATATAGAATGTAGGTTTATGAAGAGAGTTGGTGGAGTTGAATTAATTAAACGAATACATTTCTTACCAAAAAGTAGTTCTTTATTTGGTCCATCATGATAATGAGAAAACTTTTGTAACACATTCAGTCAACAGATATCTAATAACGATTGTCCTTTACACGTTTCGGCACACGAATAATCAATAGAGCAGCAAATATAAATATATAACGATTATGATCATTACTAAAGAGAGACGCTTGCTAAATTAAAGATAAATTTTATAATATTAAAACTCAAATTTACGATAATTCTTAGATTAATTTAAATATCTTAATAAAATAAATATTTGTTTTAATAACGTCACAAGTAATAACGATTAATAAATGATTTTTATGCATTAGAATGCAATTTTAAATGCGTAATTCTCTCTAGCATAAATATTGAATAGCTATAAAAAATAAGAAATATGAAGTATTATTGACATTTCTCAAATAAAATTAATTAATAAAAATTTTGATTTTTGAAAAATTGATTATTTATATATTTAATATAAATTTCAAATGACGATAACTTCGTAAATAATAAAGATTGAAAGATTTCTAAAAAGAAAAATAAAACTTGGAATTTATACTTTAAGAATCTATTTATTTCAATGCTGTGGGATAAATTTATTAAAAATGGCGGATGACAAAACAAGAGCATGCAAAATTGGAAAATAATGGTCCGAGTTTGCCAAGGCACATGACATGAATCTAATGTTGCAACTCAATGGGATATAAAGTACATAATAGTACAGAGTCTCCCCTTTGAAATGCTTTTTTATTCATCTCGATATAATGATTTTTCGCAGAATTATTCGCATTTAAAGTAAAAAGCTGCTTTTTTATTCGATTAAATATTATTAGTCATGGATAATGATATAAAATATATTATATTGTATAATTGTCCGTCTATTTATTGCAAGAATAATTAATTCTATAATGAATTCGATAATAATCGAATTTACTTTAGCTTGTTGCATTAATAAGAGGATAAGATCTATCTCGGATCATAAAGTCATTGTATGCATCACAATTCGAGTGATCGTTATGCAAGAATGGCGCCGATCGCGCGCGACTGCATTATTTAAATTAATTTCCTCGTTAGCTTCCTCGGTATTGGCTATTGTATGTTTATGGCTCACCATGTAAAGATGGACCTTCATTTTAAACAGTACATCCTGGCTCGCAGGAATACAGATGATTTGTTCGTGTTGGCAAGGAATATGTCTCGACATTGTCAGCAGTTAGAAAAAATGGCATCATAAAATAAAAAACAAAAAATTACAGCATAATTATAAAAACATGTTTATAATCATTATATAAGTCATAACAACGTTTTTTCCGTTTCAGATTTTATTTTCTAGTTTTCTTTATTATGTCTCAAATAAAATTAAAATGAAATAAATTGTGTCTTATTAATGTTTCTTTATCAATTTTAATTAAACTTTATTGTATCGAAAGCGTTTCAACTTGTTCTATTTTCTATTTCTTTTTAAATTACTATATTACATATTGGTAAATAGAACATAGGTAGAGAACAAATTTTTAAATCACGGTACGATTTGTAATATAAGCAGGAAAATATTTATATTACCATATTAGTTTTATTTATTGCTTCAAGATATATTATTCAAGATTCAATATTTGTCTTATCGAAAAATTAATTGGCTGGTGCAATAACGCCGAAATCTCTATAACAACACCGATAAAATGGTCAACACTTCTCAGTATAAATGATATTGTTTACATTGGCTCCTATTGCATGACGTTTTCATGCACAAACTGCGCAAGAGTTCTCAAAACACAAATGCGTACTTAGTTCATTATTATCTTATAAATGGTAAAAATCACATAGTAATGTATGTTTCGATGAGATATAATGTCATATCGAATATTGCCAATATATGTTTCATATTCATATATTTCGATATTATTCATTCCTATAATTTAAAATTTCAAAAATCAATATCTCTTCAAGAAAGCGTTTGCGAGCAAACTTTCAGATAAAATATTTGTTTGTTTTGAGGTCCTAAATTCGTATTTTAAATTTGGCTATTTAACCCGGAAACACTCTGTATATGAATAGAAGGAAATAATATTTCTATAAATTTAATTGTTTATAAGTAAATGATAAATCGTAAAACATAAGAAAAAAGTTAATAGAATGATTTTTTAAATTGATTGTCTTTCTCTCTAACCTAGATATTTCTCTTATAAGTCGAAATAATTGTATCGTACTTGATATTGAACTTTGATCACGTCGTTCTTTGAAGTGATACAATTTTCATTTCTTGAATTGTATGATTTTGTATCGCTTTAATTTTATCAGTACAATTATTATTTCAGTGTATTTAGATCAATACCCGTAATTCTCATAAACCATATGATTGCGGTTCGAATTAGTCATATACATTAAAGAAAAATCTTCCTCTTAACCAGTGATAACAATAGTCGCTTTATATTTTCAGCGTAATAATTTTCCTTCTTCACACGATTTATAGAATACATTCCTTATTTGTATAGTATTTGCGATTTTTTTAGTATAAAGATTATCAACAAAATTATTTATGTATGCGATGTAGTCTTCTTTTCTTTTTACGGGCATAACAATAAGAATAAAAATAAATAATTCTTTTTATAATATATTCAAATACAATATATATTCTAACATTAATGTTGATATCTATATAGATATTTTGTAAAACTATGACATGAACTGTTGAATGTATAATAGTTCGTTCACCTCTCAACATATCAAGCCCATCGCGATTTTAATGCAGCGGCACATTGCGTCGACCTGTATTTTTTATGCATTTATTCGTCTGGCTGCACTTCATCGACAAATTCTTTCACATTAATTCATTGATCGATTTGATTCTTGGCTGATAATCGAAATAGTTTTCTATTCTGGCCACAATCATTGGAGCAAATCTAGATGTTGACAAATCGGTGCAAAGCTCATCGCCATTCCTTACTGGAAATGCAACTCATTGTGTTCTTGTATCCTTGAAAGGGCAGAGCGTTTGTTTAGCGCATTATCGCTCCCGTGCTTGAAATTACTTATCGACCAGCGTGCTGTCTTGTATACGAAAAGCACATGTAACATGTATTATTCATTATCACCCACATGCCAGTGAATTAAAATTTGCGCGAATCGTTTCGATGTACGGAAAAGCAAACGTATTCTCATCATTAATTCATCTATACACCGGTATAAAATTATTATTAATTTTATTATTACCAATAATGCGATAAATATTATAAAATATTACACAAGTTGCAAAATATATGTACCTATATAATTACAGTTACACGCAACTTGCGCATAATTTTATTTTATAATATAATTTTATTTTATAATTTTATAGTTATAATTTATAACTTTCTTAGACTTCAATTTAAAAGACAGGATCAAAATTTCAGTGTGTCAAATTTTAAACATACTTACATATTACATATTTATTTATCCACAAAATTAAAATATTTTGCATAAAGATAATCATATTTACAAAAATTACATTTATTATGCATCGTTATTTGCATCACTAATATTACTGATAAGTTTAGCAATGATTGATGATTGCTCCTGATGACCTCGCGCAGGCGCCGCTGCGATCGAATCGTCCTACGAGAGTAAACAAAACTGGATCCGAACGCGTGGTTCCAATCAGTTAGACGGCGACTCCGTTCATCGAAGGAATCTCTTAATACTCTTCAAGATACTCTAGAAATTTTTAATTCAAGATCTCTGTGTTTAGCTTTGATCGGGAGATTTGACGAGTGATCGGCGTTTCTTATCGATGCAAGAATTAAAATTTAATCGATAGACTGCGATTTAGATAAAATTAGGTCTTGTTTTGAAGTATCCCAAATTTCACGAGACAGTGATCAAATAGAAGTTTGAAAAGTCGAATCTACAGAGAGACGGTCTCTGAATTTTTCTAATTTTTGTTGCAAATTCTGAATTTCAGAAATCTCGAGAAATTGTAGACTATGTCAAGATTTCAAGATTTCTATAATATATAATTTGTTTTCGATAATAGTTTCTCGATAATTTGCAGTGATAAGATTATTAAAAATTGTTGACTGTGGCGATGTCTCACTTCTATCAAATTTTTAAATAAATATTAAAATGCAAGAAAAAAATTTATAAATTTCCATAATTCTTATTTCTAGCATAATTGATTGATTTAATCAAAATTAATATACTTTGAAATATCTATATGTTATATTGTAATTTTTTTATTATTACTAATTGGTCGTAATATTAATAATTTAGAAAATTTTTTAAATGTTACATGTAAAAACTCTTTTTAAATCACTGATTATTTTACATATTAGGACTTTTCAAATCTCTGATTTGCTTTATAAAGTTTAGAATTAATTTTATTAAAAGTCAAAATAAAAATTTCTACTAATATAAATTGCAACTTCTTGTATTAAGAAAATATGTGAGTAGTAACAATGACGTGTAATGGGTATAATATTTTTTTTATTCCTGAGAATACAACAACAAGAAGAAAACGCATTGAAACTGCACAATTACAAATTATTTATATGCTTTAATGTGACAGAAGACGTTTATCTTGATCTACTGATTTAAATCGAAGAACAAAAGTAAGAAGAGGAAAATTGTATCAATGATCGAACTATACTCAACGCTAACTCCCAAACAATCACATACGAATTTGATGGAAAAACAATAATTACTAATTGATACTCAAAGAGAAGTGACGTTTACGTCAAACGATAACAATTGGTATAAAGCAGTTAATAAACAATGACGTCAAGACGTTATTCTTGCTTTGCGGATTGCGTTTTACGCTATTAAGATAAATTTTGGAAATTGAATAAACAAATATTACGTCGAATTAAATTGTTAAACCGCACAAAACGTACTATAAAAATTGCAATCATGCTAGCGGATAACTGGCAGAATTATACTTTGTCAACTTTGAAGTTTCTTAATACGACGATGATGTCCGATGCAATACCAAAGAGACGCATGACTTTCGGTCTTCAACTTGTATTAACTTTTGTCTACATAACCGGTGTCATCGGCAACGTATCTGCCTTGATAATTCTCTTTCATCGAGATAAGGTAATTTTCAATAAGATAAAATCGTTTTTTTCTTTATTATATTTCTTATTTATTATATTGTTACACACCTTCTCAATACTATTACTAATAACATTATGTGTAATTAATTAGAGAAATGTTATATTGAATTAATTATAATGTCATGTTATTGCTAAATATAAAGTATATTTTGCGCGTCTGTTTTTTTTAATTATAATAGTTACAGAAATTAATTAATAGTATAAAAATAAAAATTATTTATTGTGAATAGTAGAAATGTAAAATTTCGTGAATCTTTTAGTAATAAAAAGTAATAGAGTGCTATATCACATTTTTTGGTGTCGTTTGATTTCAGAGAAGAAATCGTAAACACTTGCTGATGCTGCGTTGTCTAGCAACCAACGATCTTGTGGCACTGCTGGGCATGTTTGTACAAATGTATGTAACTATTTATGCAGACACTGTGTCGTCCATGAGGTCATTTTGCTCTTTACGTGTTCTTTGGAGACTTTTTGGCCTCTTTAGCGGTTGCGTTGCCATTGTCATGGCAGCAGAAAGATGGTTGGCCTTGACTAGACCCTTCGTTTATCAAAAGGTAAGCTTAACTTTGGAGTAATATCATATAATATAATCAACGTAATCCCTTTTCAAAGAAAAGCTAATTATTCAGAAGTCTGCAAAGGCAATTTGTTCTTCATTATCAAATAGATTAATATTGATATATTAATCGAGAATTAAATCTTCTTTGTTTCTAGAGTATTTTTTTCTAAAAAAATATTTTATTTTGTTTATGTTTTGTATTAAAATTAAATTAGAAGAATAAATTAAATTAAAGAAATGGTTTAATTTTTTCTCAGAAAAAGCAAGTAAAAAGAAATTATGTAATTAATCATTGAAGAAATTAATTCTTTTAATAACAAATCTAAAGTTAACAAGATTAAGCATATTGTCAAAGTAAATTATACTTTATTGTAATTTATGAGGTGTTTTCGCTTTATGCGGATACGTGTGTAAGAAAATTTATACACGTATGCCGTAGAAACATTTCGGAGTTCTACGACGTTTATAGAACGGTCGTATATAATGACGATATAAGAGGCGTAAAAGCATAGAGAATCCTGATAATTTGATCAACAATTTGGACGTAGAAACTATTTTCGTAAATTATATTGATATGGAAGCACTTAAATTAAAATTGTCGAGTTCCAATAAATGAGATTAAATTTTTTTTATATAGAAGCACTAATTAAGAAATTATTGATTGCAATGCACAATAGATAAGATTGATGTCTTTCGTATTCTGCGTAATAATAAAATGTCAATTTACACTGCGATCATCTCCAAAAGCAGCACCTAAGATTGCAATTAGTTAGAGATGATTAATGTTCTTATTATGTGTCGCCTGTTGTCAAAATATTATCATTTCTACAAAAAACTTAATTCAAAATGTTTTTCTCGACAATATCATGTACGTAAATAAAATATTAATATTTTGCAACTCATATTGATTTAGTAAATATCATAACAAATATTATAATAAATTAACGAATTTATTCAACACAACAGAAAAGTTAGAAATTTAATAAAAATTTACCAGAGAACACGATTAAGTCAAATTAATTAAAAATTCAAACTTATATTAAATATTAAATTTATTTTATTTTATTTTCAATAAACTTTGAAAATTTAAGCGTTTTGCGCCATATATTTTTTGTTCAACTCGATCAATGATTCTTAATGTAGAGCACACATCATTTTATTGTTCCAAAAATAGATTGAACTGCAATTTCCAACACAGCATGCGCGTTTCTTAATCGTTAATCAATACCACTTAAGGAATAAAAGTGATGTCGTCAAGAAGTTTATTACTTCCTCTTTTTCTACAAACATCTATAATATTATTTTATATGCCTACATTTATCGTAAACAATATTACGATAAAATATTTTAAAGCATTTTATATATTGAATAGTTTAAAAAATGTATAATACTGTGTTACCTACATTAATTTTTTACATTTTGCTTGAAAATATTAATCTAAAATAAATTAATATTTACAACATATGATTTTAAAATTATTTTCAATCTGTATATATTAACTTAGAAATATATATAAATATTATCGCGGAAATAAATCTAGAAATTCAAAACTTGTGTATAGCATAAATAAAATGTCAATCTCTTGCGAATAAATGTATGATTAATTTTAAAGAATTAATAAAAAAGATAATATTCTGCATTTATGATATAATATTTTTTGTATTTTTTTAATATATCAAGATTATTCCATAAAACTGATATAAAGACAAAGAAGAATTAGTTAGAATAAGTTAGAAGATATTAGGTTGAATAATAATTTTGCCAATCTCGAAAATGTATCATCACTCTTCAAAATTCCGCAAAGAATTAGTGTAGTGCGACAAAATTGAGTTGTCCTTTCTTTTTCCTTGTGTTTTTATTAAATTTATTAGACGCAACATTTTTCCGATTTGTTCTCTGTCGAGTGAAAAGTGAGTGAGCGCATAAATCCCAACCGAGATCATATAACGTAGAAAAAGTAATGACGATTTATGCGAGTATTGGGAGGTAATAAATTCAATGTCTCAAGAGTCTCCCTCAGGAAAAATCTCTTACACAAAACTTGGCTATTTGATTTTTAAGGGCACTAGTAATCATTAGAAGAGAAGATAATAATATGAGATCTAGGATAGAAATTTCAGTCATCAAAATATATAAATAAGATTTTTCTATAAGAAACTTTTGGATAAAACTTCTTGATTAAAATTTCTTCTTGATTAAAAAACCAAAAAAATTTTTTTAATACAGTATTTATCAACTAAAGACACATTAGAAACAGAGAAGAACAAATTAATAAATATTTATGAACTCTAAACACAAAAATTGGCAATTTTAGTGACGCTCTTCAGTATTAATCTTGTCGCGAAATAAATCGCGTATTGTGATAATAGATTTCATTTTTTCCGAAGTTCAAAGTCTTTCAAAATTTAAAGGAAAATGTTTTTTCATATGTTGCGCTCTTGTGGAGCCAATCGAGTTGATTTCTTAAAGTTTAATTTGTAATCACTGCAGCACGAAAGCAATCGATGCTCGCATCGTGGTGTTTCAATATCTTAATGGATGACACGCATGTATCTTCCAGCAGGTGACGTATCTGGTAATTGTGCGTTGTATGTTGGCTCTTTGGTTGGTCGCGTTGACGATGACCAGTCTTCCGATTATGGGCTTCGGATTATACTACAAAGACAAAAAGTGTGTTCGTCATAGGGACGCTACAGAATCGAGCGACATCGCTTATGCTTATGTATGGTTTGTTTTAGGTAAGTAGATAAATAATAGTAAACATAATCAGTAAAATGTATTAAAAGTGTCGATATACTCTTATTAAAAATTAAAAACTATGCACATATTTATGTAATAATAGAAAAAAGAATATCATTATTATTCCATTTTTAGCAAGAAAAATTCAAATATTATATAAAAAGATGATTTTTGTACCGATTATTTTAAGGATATCTTAATTATAGGTACACTCTTATGTTTGTCCATTGTCTGGTGTAATTTGGCAGTCTTTAGAGCTTTGAGTAGACTAAGTAGACGCGCGGGTTCTCTCAGGCGAATCTGCAAAGCCTCATCGCGAGCAAAACCTTTGCTAACTTTAGCCGGACCTCCGAATCAAGCGGAAGTTGCTACGACTGAGGAAAAAGCATTTGCGAGACTTATGGCTGTTTTATCGATATCATTTGTTATCTGCTGGATGCCACACATGGTAGGTTTATCGACTTCAATTAGTTTTGATTTTTGATCAAATTGTGTGAAAAAGAATAATACTTGGATTGTATTTTTAAATAAATTGATCGATTTACAAGAGGCAAATCTTCTCACCGGAAACAATAATTATTTATATCTAATCAATAGAAAAATCGTGCATTTCCGTTTTAAAAGCGACGAAGGTCAGCAAGACTGAATAATGAATATTTGAAAATAGTCTCACGTACGAGCCATCGAGACATCCGTGAGCCAATATTCTGACGGTCTCTGAATTGATTTCATCCTGTTGACAATTTTGTTGAATAACGAAAAATTTAGACATTAAAAAATCATAAGACAAATATGAGCAACGAATAAATTATCTACAGTTGCATTAGAAACATATCAATTTTCTTCGTTATCAAATCAAATTTAATAAAGATGTATATAATATAAAAAAGTATATAGATCTTTTGTATTTCGTCTATAAAAATGTATATAAAAGAACAAATTTACAATACAAAGGCAATAAATATTTTGATCTACTAAAAAAAAATTCGTTTTATTCCGTAGCATATTCTTTTAATAATGCTCAATTCAATTATCAATTTTTTGTTAGGAATTATTTATCTTCTTTTTTTATTTTTGCTCATAGATTTCTATTCCGCTACGACAATTCGAGATGCGACTACCTCAAACGGCGATCACTGAACGAAAATTTATTCGTATCTACCACGCCATAGCCGATATTCTTTTATGCATTCATTTCACCTTGGATCCGTATATTTATGTACTTTTGCGAGTACCACGGCCGAGATTCCGTTTGCTGAAACCACTCTGCAGAATCTGCTGGCCGGTTCGAAGCCGTTCGGACTCGTTTACAGGTGAGGCGAACAAAATTTGAATATCAAAGAGATCCTAAATATACATCAAGAGTTTAGGGCCACCGTTGATAAATATGTAAAATTTATAACAAGTTAAAATTGTTCATATTTACGGGCAAGTATAATTTATATTATTAATATAAGATTGTCATATGTAAAGTAAGAAAAAGAATAGAACTGTAGATTAAAAATGTAGATTATTATTATTATAAATAAGGTAAAATAAAAAAATAATTTTTACAAAATTGCCACTTATTTTATGCAATAGGAACAATGGATCATCGATGTAGCAGTGATCTACCTACGCCGATTACTGAGGCTCCATCGACACCTGTCAGCGAAGTGCGTGATTCGCATCTCGCTACGGCTTCTCTCTGAGAAGATCATCCTGTGCGACCGGTTTGTGCGAATAATCTTCCTAAAGCGATTGAAAAATCACACGATCATGTATGAATGCTCGAGCAATTTCAACATCGGGATTTACTTCTTTTTTGATTAATTATTGAAAACATCATTCATTTACGCAAGACAGATTGATTCTTTTGCACGAAATTAAAATTACTTAAATATACTTACAAAAGAGAGCGTTTTAGCTTGTAAATAAAATACTTGAATCGATTTATTCTTAAATGTGTAACTATGTTTCTAGTCAGTAATAAACGTGAAAATCAATGACAGATTTATTCATTACTTGCGTAATTAGATAGTGTTAATTGCGCAGGTAACCAAAGTATAATCAATTAGAACGGAATGAGAAAAAATTCTCCAAACATAAATTCAAAAAATAAAATACTGAAAAGTACATTTTAAAGAGAAAAATGTAGTTTAAAATATATATATCTATATAAAACACACATACAGATATTTATTCTTACAAAACTTTTTTATAATTTAGAAATATAAGATAAAAGATGCAATTTTAAGTATTTATGATGTATCTGAAATAATTTCCCTGTATTGATAGCAATATAAATGCTATACGAAATAATTCTATACATATACATATGTACGTTTATTTCGTGACCTGATTGCGACATCAATATATTTGTAAACGACTTTATTTTAAACGAACATCGTTATTTGTACATAATATTATACATATATATGTTAATATCTTGTGTATATCGCACGATATCGCATAGTATTTACGCACGTTTAACAATTTTGGAATAATAAATGTTATCCGAAATTCTCTAGATCACGATTCCGATCTCCGGAACAAGCACACATCCACAAATACTCTCGCGCATACGTACAAAAAGGGTAGAATGCAAACATACACTTCGCATTCTTTGTACAGAATTTAAGAAATCGTCACGTCATGCTGGCCGCTATATATTTTAATGTTCGAAGTAATATAGCGTAGCGAGATAACCAATAATGAGAATAAAAAAAATCGAATGACATTATATATAATACAAGTGTAATCACGTGTGTCAAAGCAGATGACTCGCCCATAGACACTGACAATATTGAAATATATTGTAACTTATGTACTCACTATCTAAAAAGTGAAGTCTCGCTCGAGAAACGTATACATATCTCACAAATGCAAGTTTTAATTAAAATTTATGTATACATTGTATGGGGCGCGATATACAAGAGATAACGTCAATTACGGAAATTATTGTGATTGCGCTCTCTCTTTATTTTTTTTTGCTTTCTTATATATTATAATTTATCTATAATGTAAAAGAAATATGCAATATATATTTCATCATTAGCTAATATTTTTATACTAATCATTTATTATTATGTTTTTTGCAGAAATGTTAAACATTAAAATTATACATTAATCGGATATACTTCTAATAATTCTTTTCATTTAATTTTATCAACATGTACATATATATACATGTATTGTCTCTGATAAAATATATTTTTGATAATTTTTTCTTCCAATAATAACTTGAGTTACAACTGAAAGCGCCATATCTCAATATTTTTCTCGCATTCCGCGGCGTTACATCGTGTATATTTGCTTTGGATACCGATCTCTTGGAGATCGAAGTTATACTTGATTATAAATATATCATTCACACTCATATATGTATTTCCGTTTGCCTTAAGTCGATAAAAATTTACATAATTTGATAATATATCCTTCTGAGAGACAAAATATTATTTTTGTGCGATAAACGAGCGCGCACCAAATCCCGATTTAAACATTATAATCGACATACACACATAAATAGAATTGTCGAACATCAGAATGGAAAGACCAAGAGTTTGCATAGAACGATAAATACCACATTTCTTTATCTAAAAAGATCTGGTTATCTTGAATATATATATATATATATATATATTCGAATAAGAATAATAAACCGTAAAAGCCGAAATACTGCGTAAGAGGAGAATAAACTTGAATTGACGAACGATTTTTTTAATCTCTGACGTTTAATACAATATCCATTGTACTTAATTTATAGATCTCTTTCTATTGCGAATTGTAAGCAATTTACTCACGTAACACAATTAATAAAATACTAACTGAATGAAACATTACGTAAATCACTAGATTCGCAGATAATCGGAATAATTACTTGGCCGTTGCTTTTACAGTCGCTTGTTTTCATGAACAACAAAGGATGTCACAAGTAGAAACATTGATGGCTTTTATATATACATATACAACTTCGATTAGTCTCGTGTATAATTCGAGGTTCATTATAATTTAATTATTGTCAGGCGTACTATACTTTATTACAGACTGTCGACTATTCAAATCACACGCAGCTGCGTACTTATGTGGCAATCAATGCAATTGCATGTTTTTTAAGCTAAAAGTCAAAACAGCAATTAATTCTTCGAATATTCGTATCACATAAGTGATTAACAGAAGCGATAATTTATCGCGTTAAATGCACTGCAATTTTTATTATGAAATTCTTATTTTGAATTTAAATGTGGTTTTAAAATGTTATATTATCCGACATTAATTGCAAAAACTTGATCGCAGAAGCAGCAAGTGTAAAAGACTAAATTATCAATTATCACGATTGTACCAAAGCAGTGGTGCACAACCTTTTAAAATCTCCTTTGTATTATTAATTCTGCAATGTTTTTCGATTGTAAATTATGTATAACAATGTATTCTTTCAGAAAACTAAATAAGCACAAGTAATTATGTGTGTACTAAAGAATATATAATTAAATTGATATTCCTCATTTTTTTAACACAACTTTGTTGCACGAATCAAATATTAGAAGTTATAAAAATCTCGTTTTACTCGAAAATAATCGTTTTTAAACATCTACTGCAATTAATTTTTTGTGAATTTAAAAATTTTACATTCTGTATATAAAGAATAAAGAAGCCTGAAATAAAACGCGTACATGATGACGAATTCATGAAAGATTTATTGGCACTTGTACTGATTGTGAGTTGCAGATTTATAAACTTGCTTTCACACTCTTAATTAAAAAATAATAAAATCCAGATAAAACATAAACATTCACTTCTTGTAAGCGAAAGCTTCAAATTTGGTTTCTCTCACCTTTTTTAAATAAATAAATTCTTGTATTAAATTACTGCAACTTCAACGCCCTTGATGTACACAGATTCGATAAATTTCTCAACAATTAACACGAACACATCGAATTACATTTTTATACAACATACTATAGAAATAACAAGTATGTCAGTACTTTCGCATCGATCGACGAACAGGGAATAAATTTTCGTTTCTCTTTTTTTTTTTTAGTAACAAATTATAGATCTCTATATATCCATTAATTGATTTAGGCCAGTGTTGATACATTTACACACACACACATATATATAAGCTCGATTCAACGCCCTTCCAGGTACCGTACTCCACTATCGTCGATTTATCGATGTCGATGATTTATTTACTTGATCCAGCCCGTTAATATCCACGTTTTCTTTAGTTGCACTTTTTATTATTTTCTTTATATATGTATATATCCTTGAAAAGTTTCATTGTACACTTATCCCATTTTAATTTTGTAAGATGTTAGAAAGTGCAACTAAAAGAAAATTAAACCCGAAAGACACAAAAAGCATTTATCTTTATTTAAAAGACGCAGCAAGTTTGTAGATGTTTTTTGAACTTTCGTGTTGTGTAGGAGTAAACTGATTTAACATATGGGCCATCTTTGAAATCGCGTCTTTGCGTATACGGCAGACATATACATCGACATCGAGAATATAACATTTAGAATCAGATCCTACATTTCCAACATGACATTCGGTCTCGCGATTTGTCCGATTTTATTGACCAAAGGCACGTGCTCAATGCAGAAAAATTAATTAATTTTTTATTTAGGTTACATAATAAATATTACAAATACAGAATCGAAATAAATACAATGCAAATCGCTAATAATTTAATAATCTATAATGTGAAAAATATAGAATTTTTAAACATCCAGGTCTTTAGATATATTTATATAACAGTTATTTCATAATAATATACCTATAACTTCTCAAATATATGTTCAAAAAGCAAGAAGAAAAAAAATTCGACCATCGCGAGCACTTGTCGTTGGTAGACGATTTTGCGTCAGACATGCGCGATTGATTGACGGCCAAACAACAACGGATAACATCCGTTCACAGATCGCGCAAAGATGAGGGAAAGAAAAAGAGAAGGAGAGAAAGAGACAGGTCCAAGACCGGCCTCGATCAGTCGGACTCCCGTGCAAACTGCAATCAATATTTCCTCGTATCCTGAAAGTGCAGTTCCCGCATCTTACCCTTAATCCACTCGGCTAATATCAGCCAGAGAATTCTACCGCGCTCCTTGAAAACCCGACCTGCCGGCGCGTCCTGATCGGCCACGATCAGACGACGGCGGTTGCATCCGTCTGCATCCTGCTGCGCGTACAACAACGATTCCCACGGCGTGTCATGCCGGCTTTCGTTTACCGCGACCCTTGCCTACAATGCAGATGATCTTCGTTGAATCGGTAATGATAACGCGCGAATTTATAGTGATTATCCAGGATCTACTCAAGATCAAGCATATTCAATTCGAACTGTTTCTTCAAAGCAAACTTAATTCATTATCGTCGTCTGAACAAGCACATAATAAATTATGTAATGGTATTTAAAATTAATGATCATTTTTATGTGTTTTCGTGTCGAAAGATTGCCGCGATATTTTATTTTTATATCTTTTTTCAAGATTATATTATATCGATAAAATAACATATTCCAGATCTACAGTTACTGATTTAAATAAAATGGTTGAAGAGACTAGAATGCTTGGAAATAGAATGGTTGAAAACTAGCGAATCAGGAAAGAAACTAATTCCTTTAAGTAATAAAAATTACATAATTTTAACTAGATTCTTACAATGGGTTTAAATTGTTACTTTTTATTTCAATTTTTACATTAAATATAAGTATGTCTGTCAAAATAACAAATATAATATAATATAAAGATTGTGAAAGAATATGAAAATCGTATCTGCCTCAAGAAATGAATTTCTTTCAATTTTTAAAAATAAAAACATTAAAGGAAAATAGAATAAAGTCATTGTTGCAGGAAGCATAAGGGACAAACATACTTAAATTCTACCGGAGAAATTGGATATTATGTTTAAAATTTTGATAAAATAAAATGCAATACTTACTAGATGTAAAGTAGCTACTGCATCATCCTGAACATTGTTCAGCATGATAAAAAATTTAATTTAACGATATTTAATAGAGAAATACCAAAGAAAAAGAATTCTAATAAGAAAAAAATATATTTTCAAATAATCGATATCTTTTTTTATAGAAACGACAGTTATGCATCTCTATGATTATTTCTATGATAATTAATTTATAAATTTTAATATTTTTTTTTCTATATATGTCAATAATGTCGCGTATTTAAAATCGATATGATTAATTATAATTAATACACCTTGATAATCTATATATATATATATATATATATATATATATATATACGTATATTGTAAATGAATTTCCAAGATTAATATTTTGTCTTTTACCTGGGGTCGTACGAGATCATATCACACTTTCCACAGCAGCAAATGATTTGTGGAATCCTCGCGGCCGGCCTGCAGTTCTGCGGATGCTTGAGGTCCACGGAAGTCTTCGTAGCCGTCTCCGCCAGATATCACCAGAAGTTTGCCGCGATTGATATTGTTTTGCTGCGTCTTATTCGACTTCAGTGAGTAACGATTCACCTTCGGACGAGGATCGGGTTTCGAGGAGTTCGGCGTTTCCACGCAGGTGAGAAAACGCACGTGTCCCGTGTGTCCATGAGGAATTCCTGCGAGGAACAAAGTAATTCTTTCGTTAGATTAAAATAAAGATTTTGAATCTCTAAATTTTACGCTTCGTAAAATATCATAAAAGATAGCACGCGGATTTCATAATTACAATCCTTAAAACTTTTACAAGACTATAATTTTGATGCAATTTACATAAAAATACCCTCATACATATAATTTGAATTTCTGAACAGATTCTTACGTGATAACTGATTTTTTTCTTACTTTCGTTATATCGAAGTGTAAATATCAATAATTAACTGATCTTTTACCGAAGCATTACATATAATATTAATTATGTACATATACTAATAAAAAAGACGAGATTAATGCTTGTACAAATCACGGCGTTGTACATCCTACACGTTAAAAAAAATAAAAAGAACTTGACACTGATCGATCGCTCCTGCATTCTTCTGCACGAACGGGTATCGAGCGCGATTTGGGATGTCGGCCAGTTTTCTAATTATATCACGGCGCAATAATAACGGCGACAGAATGTGACGAGAATGTGACGTCAATATACGCACCAGTCACGATCGGTGGCTGCGACATCCTCTGAGTGGATGGCTTTATATGGGGAATTGGCACAGTGAGCAGTACACCGGCGCTCGTGCCGATCCAAAGCAACTCGTTGCAAGCCAACAGTGCGGTAACCCTGAGACACGCGGCCTTGTGCTGCCGGATTATGTCATCGCAACCTGCAGCAAATTTAACGCTTCCGTTAAAATAAGTGCCGGATCTGGTCCCTAAACGAGGGCTCGTTGCCGTCGATCAATTAACGAATCAAACAGAATAAAATACGGTGCGCATATCAATAAGCTTAAAAGGTCAATTTATTATACGTATTTATTATACCTATTTTTATCTCTTTATATATTTAACGGTAAATATTTATTAGGCAAAGAGAAAGGCAGTTTTAAATTAATAGGAATTTTATACAGTAAGTTTTAATCTGGCTTGATTATGTAAGATTGATCGATATCGAAAACTATCACAGAATATTTATTATTTTAAAATTTAAATTTCAAATTTCTTTAAATTTTTGCTAATTTAATTCATATTTCAAAGCTATTATCGAAAAAGAAATGGAAATTAATCAATAAATGATGGAAATAATTAAGAGAATACTTGAGATACAATAATAAAGATTTCCAATTGTTCGAGAGTTGAGACTTACTGGCAAGCATTTTGGTGACAGCCGGCGCAATATTGATATCCGTTAGGCATTCATAGCTACCGGAATGGAAAAGCCTCAGCACAGCGCTATTGTGTAAGGAGATCCAGACACCTAAGCCTCCAGAATTCGCCATGCAGGAAACGGCGCGGCTCGTATCGCTGCTAACCGTGAATGTGTGCTCGATGTCCAGTGTGTGAGTGTTTAAAACTTTAACACTGTTGTGACAGCCGCACCAAAGCTTCCCGGAAACGGATAGCATCTTGGTTACCGGCGATGCCACCGTCCCGACGGATACTGTCGTCGGATCCGATGTGTTCCATCCACCGGCTGCGATACAATAGGGAAAGAAGCAGGATACATTTTTTTTAAATTATTTTACTATAAATTATTTTACTATAAATTATTTTACTATGTTGGAACAATACTTACTATGGTCCCGAACGTAAACGGTGATGTCTCCATTGGCAAGAGAGACGAACACCTTGTTATCCAAGTATCTGAAAGGTTACAGTATCGCGTGAAAGATATAGATCGTGAAAAAAATAATATATTATTTATAGAGAATAATAATAAAATTAGCAAAAGACTCTTACATGATGCAGTGAACGCTGCTTCCGTGTTGGATCTTCACCTTGTTCTTTTTGATCCTGATGTTGTCGTTGCAGTTGTACACGTGGATGCAACCATCCTCCGTTCCCAGCCACATCGTGGGCTGATTTGCGTCTTCCTCCGCAGTAGTATTGTCAATACTCGACACGTCGCCGCTCAATGTCACGCTGCCCGTATCTGCGCATGGAATGTCGTCCGAGTCCGAGTCGTCGGAGCTCGAGCTACTGCGAAATGCGCGAGTAAAGATGAATGTTAAATCGATGCGCAAGAACTGTCCACAACGTTCTATATTTCTTTTAATCTCGGAAAAATTATAATTATTTACTTTGGAAGGGCTTAATAAATTTTAATAAAAATTACATTGAATTTTTCAAGATTTCTCTTTTTCTGAATAAAATTGCGTTCGAGATATTTTACATTCATTCCAGTGAATATGAGGAATATAATATATAACTATTATTAATAAATCATATCTGACTATAAATATAATAACTATAAATATAAATCAAAATAGTTTGATAGAATAATTACCTGTCTAACTGTATGTTACCGCCACTGGCATCCACGTCTTGCACCGATATACTTATACCGCTTTTGCTGTTGATGAACGGACTGTTGTTCGACGTGCACGAGTTCGAACTGAAAAGACAACATTGAAACTCGTGTATTCGTACATCCATCCACATAAGCTGAACTCAAGATTACTTCTCGTTGCGCGATTAATTCGTCTCGCTAATCTTACCCGGGTGTGCACGCAGGTATCCCGGCGACGCAGAGTATCCTGGCGTTGCAGACTCCGTTGCACATAGTAACCTGCGGTGGTTCCGGACTTAGACTCAGGACACACACCTGACCGACGTAGCCATCGCTATTGCAGACCCAAACGTCCTTCGAACCCTGCCCGTTCACCAGAGTCGGCGCCGCGCACGTGAACTGGAGACCAGCTCGCGTCTTTCTGATCGGAAGAGGTCCCACGAATTCAGGACACGGTCTCCTGTCGGCTGACAGAGCTGCACGCGAAATAGCAAAGTGCTTAAAATATTTCTGACTTGTTAATTTATAATTCAAGAACTTGAAGAGTTTTCTGGATTAGATACACACATTGACAAAATCTAAATTTTATTGAACAAAATATATAACGTTTACCTTAGCATTATAATTTAATCTTCAACGTATTGTTTTTATTTATTCATATCTCTTCATTTATAAAGAATAATATTCGATATTTTTTTTTACTACATTGCTACCGAATGTTGTTTAGACAATTCGAAAAATTATTATTTTTAGAATGTATATTAATACTTGTAAAATCATAAAAAATGAGATGCTTTCTAAATATAGAACACTCGTCTCTTAAAAGTACTTACCGAGTTTCTGTTTGGCTTCGTTAAAGCTCTCTTCCCAACTCGCACGCTTGTCCGGTTTCGCGAACATAACAGATATATTCTCAATTCCGGCTCTGCAAATAAAGTACGCATGTACAATATGAGTCACGTTGCAATCTGTTGCAATACGATCGAATCATCACGATTTAGGAATTCCCAATATGCGGAAACGTGATCAAAAACGACTCTCGGAGAATGAGATTATAGGATTTCGCGATAATCTTATAAAATTAACTCTTCTCAATTGATTATCAGGCTAAATTTAATCATCAATTTAATCGATTTAATCATAAATTTTTCAGTTTATTTCAGTTCATACATAATTATAAATTAACAAATATGTAAATAAAGATCTACTCAATCGCGATTCTGTAGCAAGAATTCATTATTGCAAAGATTAATTATTTCGCGTTCTCTTGGAAGATATAGCAAATAAGGACTAGACTGTCAGATATTAAAATAATGATATCATTATTAATAAATCTTACAATAAGTTTTTCATTTATCTATTTCATTTAATTCATCAAGAGATAATTTATCAAAGATGAAAATGTTTCTTTTGTGCTTACTGAGTATTGAGTGTTAGTTCCAAACAAGCTAACTGCGAATGCGCCGCATTTCTTTCTGCCAATTGTCGCTGGGACTGACTCAGCATATCCTTGATAAGATCCTCCAACTGCTGCTTGGCACCATGCAAAGTCGCGGCGAGCTCCTGAAGTTGAGTTAACTTCGTGCAGTCTTCTCGGAGATAGTCTACTTCGCGCACCATTCGCCTTAAATTCTCGTCTTTGGCTGGAAAATCGATATTAGAGTAGTTTTATTCTGAAAATGACGAGTAATTCGATAAATGGGCATCTCCACGATACCTTTCATCACTTCGAGATCATCCAGTGGAATTCGCATCAGCATTTTGTATTTGTTTGCGTCAAGCAGACCAACCAGACTGTTCGGACACGTGCTCCTGCGAATTTTCTTTTATCATTGTCGCAATAATTTTTTTTTTATTTTCAAAATTATATTTATTTTTATGTACCAAAATACATAATATAAATCTCTGTTATATAATTATATTACACTATACTTAGCGTTTAAATTAAAGTAATCATATATTTTTAATAAAAATATCAATATTAAAATAAAATGATCATAAGCAATTCAGAAAGTTTCATAAAGATCGTCGCAGAGTCTGCATTTTATTTTAAAGATTTAAAAATGTTTTAATACCGAATCAAATCTAAATAAATCTAAAAAAATAAGAAATTTGAAGAAATTTTTATTTGATAGAAAAATTGGCAATATTTTGTGTGTTTTTACTGAAATATACTTGAGATATTTTTGTCAAGGATACTTACGTTGATGGTTTTCTTATCGTGCCGCTTCTGCGCTTGATGCTGGTGATGACGAGGAGATCGGAGAACAAAAATAAAGCCCGTTCCTTCCGCGTGCCCTGATTCGACGCTATGGTGACCAGATCATGCCGGACGAAAGCTCTACGGTAGGAAAAGCGGATAACGTGTCACACGATAAATTCGATGAATCTTTTTGTCGTGTCGCGGTCAGTTTTCCACCACAACACATTATTATTGGTAATCGATACCCCGATTCCGACGGCTAAATAAGTCCGGTGGAAAAACGATGTAACGCGTGCACGACGCGATTGGCACAGATTGAAAAGCGCGTGAAGTGGAACGATGTTTCTGTCACAGCGGTAACATCGACAATTTATTGGAAAATGTTACTGCAACGAGACAGTCTCTCAATCATTTATGATACATGTATTTTCTCGATCATTTACGTCTTTAAAGGTTGCTTTGAAACGTCTATTCTAAAAGATTGATATCACGACAGCAGGCTTCAACTAAATTTTTATATCGTTTAATTAAATTATAATGTAAATATTATACGACATTATGTTAAAATATCGACCGCAATTTATTATATCTAATAGTTTATTATTATGGTTTAAAACTTGATGCTCAAGTATCTAGAAGAAATGTGGAATTGAACGACAAAATATTATTTTGAACACGTTTTGTAAATTGAGCAATTAATTACAATTTACAGATTAACTTAATTAACTGCCCTTGCTCCATTATATTCCCGCACTTTGCTGAAATAAAGTTTCTAAATGTCACGTTAAGAAAAATATCTAGACTGTTTTGCCGTCATTAATTCGTGATAGATACGTTTTACTGGCGCTAAGATATTCCGCTGAAAATAATCGTAAATCGTCGAGACCGGACGATCAAATATATTGCACCGTCAAAACCGTTCAATATGATATCTAACGGCTGGCACAAGATTCTTAAACAAAATTCGTTGGTTATTAATATACCTGTCGTTCGTTACGATGCCGGCGAGACCTTCAACAAGAGCCTGGACCTCCCTTAATGTCGTCTGCTGCTGTTCCCACTCGAGTGACTCCCTTTCCGTGCAGTTGATTTTCACGACCAGCTCGTGAACCTCTTTCTGCGCGGCCTGCAGCAGCTCGTAATCGGGATGCGTCGGATCTGTGTGCTTCAGCAATCTCTGTATCAGCAACTCGTACCGCGGGATCTTCTGCACAGGTTTGATCAGCAGCTGGTCCAGACCCAATTTGCCCTTGTGCTCGCGCTCCATCGTCTAATTATAACAAAGTGTCAATCTATGTACACCGAAAACTTTTTATTATAATTTATATATCTCGCGTAAAATTATATCCCAAATTGAAGAAAATTTATCTCGCCACGCAGTTCAAATATTAAAGCGATAAAATCATTACATTCGCATTATAATCGTGAGCGCAAACTTTGTGCAAAATAATTTTGAGAATTGAAATATATTACAAATTTCAATTTTAACAAGTTGAAATATACTTAAAATATATTTATAATAAAAACCGTTTATTAAGCAAGGCTAAAGTAAAAGTAAAAAAATGGAACAGAGATTAGAGATTATATTATTAATATAATTTAACTTTGAGAGTTTAATAAGGCTTTTAATGTAAAACATAAATTTCTACGAGCTATAACAAGAGCCAAACGCGGATAATAGTGTGTTAGTTCAAGGAAAATTAATGTTATTGAAACTATTATGCACAACAATTTTACTCTGATATTTCTCTTCTCTACTATTCTTTAGGAGAGATAGACGATTTATTAAAATAAAAATCTCGAATTAAGATTTATTCATTTAAGGAGAATTGAACGAGCCAATTAAAAGCCAAGCGCGGTAACAAAAGCGCGTGTTATTTGTCGTTGTTAGAAATTTCATCGTTATTAACACGTTTGTTTGTTTCTAGTTATATGCCTACTTATGTCTTTTTATTTGTCTGACCAAATTATTTGCCTGACTTTTATTTGTCTTGACCAAAACGTATCATAAATATAAGATTTTTAACAACGATATAACACGCGCTTCTGTTACCGTGCTTGGCTCCTAATTGGCTCGTTTAATCCCTCTTAAATAAATAAATCTTAATTCGAGATTTTTATTTTAATAAATCGTCTATCTCTAAATCGGCTCCTAATTAGTCCATTTAATCCCTCTTATTGTTTTTTACGAGAGCCTTCAATTGATTTTATATTTTATTTAATTACTTGATTTACTTGATATCACTCCAAGAAAAATGTGTGCATTAATCAGTTTCAATGAAAAATTAATTTTTTTATAAACAGACTAAGATACACGTCTGGTTTTTACTTAACCCGTTGAAATTTAAATTTGTGTTTTACATTAAGAGTCTCTTATTAAACCAAATTCTTAATTAAATTATATTAATTTCTGTTTTTTTTTATTTCGTCAACTATAATTTTATATTTTGAAAAATCTAGTATAATTTATTAATTAAATAAAAAAAAATATATATATATAATCATAGGCTGCTTTCTAAATTTGTAAATGTTTAAAAAATGCTAAGTGCAATTTAGCGTTTAAAGTGGCTAACAATTCGCATTCCTACATTGCTGAGCGCATCAAAGATGCACCGAGCCTCAGGGGGATTCTGTGCGGTAAGTAGACGAGAATAATGCTGGCAGTCAAGTAACAAGTTAAATTATATCAATAAACTTGTGCGAAAGATCAAGACCGCGGCGTTTTAAAAAGTGACATAAAATAAAAAAGTTTTATATTTAATAATACTTGCGCGTGTTATATAAAGGGAGAAAAAGAGAGATAGAAAGAGAGAAAGAACAAGAGAACGAAAATGCAGCGAATAGTAGAACGTTGCAGTATATACCTCGAGAAATCGTGCGAAGGCCGGTTTCGCTTGGCACGTTGTTTTTATCGCCTTCCTCGCGGATTTCCAATTGTCCAGGAACAGGGTGTAGGTCTCCAGCACCACCGGTTTCGTGAACTGCAAAACACAACACGGTTTCTTTATGCTTATATTCTCCGTCGTATCGATGAAAATACATACTGTACGCAAAACGCAAGTTCTCTCAAGTAAACGCGTTATTTCAAAGGAAGAGCTGACTCATTATTTAAGCATTCGCGAGTTAAGGGCGAATGTATGTAAAGCTGCGTCGCGAAATTGCCACCGCGAATTTATTCGTTATATAATACGCGAAAAATATGCGGAACGCAGATAAAATGTGTCTCAAGGACCCCAAAAATATTCCGCGTTTATATAAAAAGGTGATACGTGGCTACGACATACAGGTTGATTTATTAAGGATGAACCGAATAGAATAACGCACCGTAAAATAAGTATGTTACGCAGCGAATCTGTCGATTTTTGGTTAGCATTTCAGAATCTTAAATGGCCAAAGAAATCGAATGTATTGTTCTGTACTTAATTTATCACACACATGGCCGGAAGATATTTGCGCGCCTAGTAACAATGTAAACTGACCACATCGAGGAAGACGTCGCCGATCGTCTGCTTGAGTTCCCAGGTGTCCAGTCGCCTACGCAGCTCCTCCAAGAATACCTCGTGATGGCTGAGAAGCGCAGGGATCTGAAAATGCATAAGCATTTCTCTTCGACTATTTCATCCTTAATTAAATGACGCGAGATTCAATAATACTTTATATGAGATCGAGCTGAAAATACGAGCGAATTTTCGATTATTACGAAACGCAACACGATCGAGCTTAACAGGTAAAGTGTCACGGAGATTTACCTCTTTCATAAATTTATTATTATTTATTGATTCAAGTACATGTATTAAAAAGAGATCAAATTACAAATTAATTTAATTTAATTTATATAAAAATAAAAGACAAAATAAAAATGTAAACTTAATTACAAGCAGTTTCAAATTGTCATTAAATATATTAATTACACTGGCCAACAAAATTTCATTATTTTCGAATCGTTTTTACGAAATATGTATTTTTTACTAAATTTGGTTGCGCTGAACAAGAATCTGGCCTTAGAAATACTAAATTGGCTCTGATTTTTTTAAATAAACCGGGTCAAAAATGTAAAAAGAAACATGTTTTTGGTCATTTTTGAACACCTATAGAAAAAGAACGGAAACTCTGGGAAAGGGCAAGGTTTAAGCTTTTATTTCATCTTAATTAAAAGGTTCTAGAAGCTCCCGTTGTTTTTCTACAGGTGTTCAAAAATGACCAAAAACACTTTTTTTGCACGTTTAACCTCGTTTTGCTTAAAAACTAGAGCCAATTTATTATTTTCCTTTCCAGATTCAAATTCTACGAGAAAAAACCTATCAGAATCAGTTGCCATTGGCCCGATAAAAAATCCGTATTGGTCAGTGTTATACTATTTAATATTTAATTCTATAATCTTTTAATATTTCTTTATCTTTTATAATATAATAATATAGTCTATAGTAATTTAAGCATGCACACAACACATTTTTCACGCATCGTTTATTAATTCCAAATGTCACTAATATTTGATGAAATAATTGTAAGTCAATTTAATTAGACATCAGTCTCTCTATAAACTGTATACCAAGTTATAAACTATTGATTAATTGATGAATAATTATTCGTTACTTTTCAAAGACGCAATTTGTCAATTATGAGTCAGCAATTTGCTAATTAACTGCTGCTCCGAATGTGTGTCAAGGACATAAGAATAGAGAATTCCACGATCAATTGATGTTCGACAATTTCATGATAAGACGCTAGTCTTAAATCTCAGTTGAAATATATATCGTATAAAATCGTTTCATATCTAATTTACTATTCGACGTATTTTAAAATACAATTCAGCGAAGAGAATTTTTCTCGAAATTTTTGGGATACTGAATTACAACGAGACAGATTTATGATGCGCATGAATAAGTGTGACGTGTCTTTCGTCGATAAATATAATGCTATAATAGCACACATATACATACGAGGTTGAAAAAAATAATACATAATCATATAATTTATATACATTTGAAATAATAATTTATTTTTCTCTTTCTTCTGTTTTTCTTAAAATAATTTTTCTCCGAACAAAAATTGATATTGAAATGACAAGTTTGTCTTACCTGATAAAATATCTCGTCAACTGTTCCGGCATCCACCAAGCCGGCATTCTCGGGGCTCTTCAAGGGCTGTAGGTATTTCTGTAAAGCATACCAAGTATTATGTTCGCAATATATTTTTCAAACGTGTGTTGTGACAATCATTTTTTTATCCATTAAACTCTCAACAAGACTAAAAACGTGTAATCTTTGATGTTGGATTTCTCGCACAAAATTAGTAATCAGTAGAGGAATTTTAATTAAATAGGAAAGAAAGGTTGTGGGTGTGTGTGTGTGTGTGGGTGTGTGTGTGGGTGCGTTAAAAAAATGGTATCGTCTGGCGAAAGAAAATTCTTAACTATGATAATAAAATTTAAATTATTGAATTGAAAAATGCACTCGCGCGTTTACCGCGAAATCTTCGGCTCGATCCTCCGTCCTTCGAGACGAAGGAGAGATTCCTTAAACTTGAAAGGATAGAATTTTCAAGAAATGAATTAAATTCAATTAACGCCAACGCGTGTTGATATCGTAATCGAATGCAACGGAATATATATATTTTTTATCATATATATATATATATATATATATATATATATATATATATTTTTTTTTTTACATCGACGACGTGAAAAATGTGGAGGACCTTGTCACGTCGTCGGTTCCACGGTCGTTGTTAAATAATCGGCAAACATGCCGGCAACGATTCCCGGCACAGCCGCGTTGTTTATAAAATATGACAATCAAGTCGGTTCGTATCCGCCAGTGGAAATTCGCTGAAAATTCACAGATTCATAACACGGGTTAAAAATCACTTTTGAATCTCGAAAAATCAGCACACGCCCTATTTTGAAAGTGTAAATATGGGAACGCATAAATTAGACTTGGTAAATTGGGTTATGCATCTCGATTTGTGACAACAGACCTAGTGCGATAGCAATCTACATATAGCTGTACATATTTTATCAAAATGTTACAGGTATATATATATATTTTTTTTTTATTAAATTTGCATATGATTCTTTATTATTTAATATAATTTAATTCACTGAGTAACTAATTCTACGTGCATTTTAAATGTAGCGTGTGCATTGTTCTTTTAATTCTTTCAGCCTTATTGTCCTTTAGTATCTAAAAATAATAAAATAAAAAATTTTGTTCATTATATTAGTTGCACTTATTAATGTATATGTGAAAAATATAAAAAAAGTGAAATATATAATATTATAAAATGTGCGTAATTTAAAAAATATATTATATATTTTAAATATATTTTCAATTATTTATCTTTCCATATGTCTTGTAAAAGAGTGTCGCGAAAGATTTTCTTTTCCATCAAAGGTTTAGATCGGGCAATGATGATTTCATTTAAAAGCTTATGTAATATTGTTTTGTAGCAATTGCTGATAATTGGCAAAACAAGAGGTGTTCTCTAACTAATTGTGCGACAAAGTAGCATTTAATTTCCTGATAGCATGGATTAATTATCGTAATTGCCTGATTCAATAGTTATTTCGCGTTGCAAAATAGCAATGCAATTAGCGCGGCGCATAACTCGCTTAATTATTTAAAACAAAGATCGGCCTCAACATCGGTCTTATTGCCAATGTTTGCTCAGATACTTTTATTGAAACTACAGTCCATGTTATACAGAGCACGTTGTACGTTAATGTGACGTGTCTTGCTGCGTTGCACGATGCACTTCCGGTTACGAGCGACCCCCACGTGTGTTTGAAAGAATTTCATAAATTTCGAAAAATATCGAGAGAAAGGCAACACTCTATATGCTTTTAGTAAAATTAAACATTCAAAATGTTACGTATTTTAAATACATTACACATTCACGAGTTAAATTTTATGTAACTTTTTACATAGACTAATGTCGATACAAGTTATATAAATCAAAATCATGTATCAACAATTTTTATTTTAATAGTTACATCTTTGTATCGCAAGATTCTATTTCACTTATGTTTGTGTTGACAAAAATAATTATAAATGTAATTTTGAAAAATCATGAAATTTAATTGCTCAAGTATTTTCAGCTTTTAATTTCAGTAAAGTTAGAGATTTTCCAGAAATAATGCTCACGATTCCTCTCTTTTCCTACTTCTTCGAGCAAAGAAGAGAGAGATAAAGAAGTGATAAAGAGTGCAAAAAAGGCAGTAACAGAGACGGCTGCAAATGCGCAAATTGAAATATTTTAACATGCGGAATATCCACATCGGAAATTGGATTTAGATGAGTAACGTTATTATCATTTCGCGCGACAGCGATACCTTGACACGCACACATTTGCAAACTCGTCCTGCACGTCGTCCAGTAATCAAATTTGTGGAAACGCCCTTCAACGAATATTAGATGCATTGCGTTGCTGAAACAAAATGTTCGGACGAAGGACGCAAACAATGCGCTGCAAATCAAATTGCGAGTACATTTGTGAAAGTTTTTGAACAGGGGATGCAGAATTCTGTTACATTTAAATGCCACCTTGAAATGTCACTTGCTACAAACGATTGTCTTTTAGGAATTTACGCACATTTTAAATGTATGAACAATGTTTCTTGTATGTAGCATTAACGCTATTTTTTCTAGCAGTGTGAGATTAGTTTATTAGTTTTTCGATTGTGATCGAGTAAGATCTTTTTGAACAATATTTTCGCACAATGATGGAAAATGTAAGGCACCAGATTTTCGCGTAAAAAAATAATTCTTTATTTTAATGAAGACAGATTTTAATTACATCTTTTAAATTAATAATTAATAATAGTAATATATATGAATTTTATCACATTAATCTTCTTGTTAAATTTGTGCTCTATCATTAAGAAAACTTTAAAAGAAAGATATAGATTTAGACAATAATTACTTTTATCTTGACTCACTTAATAATCGTTTTCATTAACAAAAATGCTAATGCAATTTGCAATTTATTATTGCGTCGCCATCTGATAATGGTTTCTCAGTTTTCGAAGTGAGAGCAACGATACGTGTATAATCGCGAATGCGTTTCCGAGTATGCAATATTATGCAAACGGGCAAACGGACCGATTTTGAACGTAACTATTTTCCACGACCTCGTATTTGAGTCTATTTCCGGTGTTTAACGAAGAATGATTATGAAGTTTGGAATGGAAATTTAATGAAAACAACAGGCCGAGGAGATGCCGGCGTGCTTGGATCGAACAAGCAACAACTCGGTCGAGCGAAGCGAGTAAACGGGCGGGGGTGTTTGTTTACAAGATGCAAGGACGAATCGCAGTTTCCGACATGCATCGATGCAGTTTCTTCTGACTTTGCGGCGCGCACTCGAGAAAGACCGATCGATGCAATTCTCTTGACCAATGTAATTCGAAGAATATTACTTTCGGAGAAAATTAATTTGTTTATATATTTATCCTCGTCATTTTCATGCTCTAGTAAATATTTCAAAGAAACGCCAGAACCTTCATTATAATATGTGTACTCAATAATAATAAAGATCTGTATTACATTTCCGGGAGAAAATTTAATTAATTAATAAATACTATATTTAAAATATTCTTTATACAATATTTCTTTCTGCGCCTCCTAAGATTTCATTTCGAATTGATCCTTTTTTCTAGAATCTTACCTAAAAAAAATCAATAATACTCACATTGACTAGTATCTGTAACGCTTCTACGTAGGATCGTTCCGTGTCATAAAGCTCCACGACCACGTGAGTCCTCGTGTCCTGCAACGTAAAAAAAAGAGACAATTATTGAAACATGGTTGAGTGACGTTCGGTAAAAAAAAAAAAAAAAAAAAGAGGAAGCGCTTTTGATCCGAGACGGAAGAGGAGAGGAAGCGTACACAGCTGTCACTCGATTATCGTTGCGTCGCGTCCTGTGATGATGAAGATCGCACGTGCGCTTACGAAAGACCTACACGTGCGACACGTCACGTGCGTGCGTATGACGGGTTCGATTATGGCCGCTGTGCAATGTAAACGACAAGCCGCAAGGTATTGCGTCCCGAGTACGCATCGCCGAGGATAATGGGAACAATGCGTCGATATACTGAGATTATGTCAGTATCGAGAGATATCGATGAGAGACTTATGTAACCATGAATTACTTATATACACGGTGTAATGAATTTCACGCGTAATCCATTTCAGCATCTTTCATCACTGTATCTTTATCAATCTTCTTTGACGTATTATTATTAAGTTTCTTCTTCTTATAGCTACAACTTTTACATTCATTATTTTTTTCTATATACACAGTATCCTCCATAAGTTTGAAAACATCTTACAGTTAAAGAATTGCATGGCAGCCATCTGTTATAAATAAAAATGTCATTTAAATATTTTATGTTATTTTATGTTTATTTTATGATTTATTTGATTACAAAAAATCTGCACAGATCTGTCAAAAGGATCCTCTTAATTTAAGAGAAAAATTCTAAAGAAATATTCTATAATTAGATATTTGTAATATTATTAATCGTGATAACAAAATCCAGTCTTATAAATGAACATTTGTTATTTATTGCATAGAGTACCCTTCACAAGTTTGGAAACGCTTTACATTTTACAGTTAAACAATCGCATGGCAGCGATCTGTCATAAATAAAAAATGTTATTCAAATATTTTACAATTTATTGATACAAAAAATCTACACAGATCGCTGCCATACGATTGTTTAATTGTAAAATGTAAGGTGTTTCCAAACTATGGAGAGTACTATATATATTTTTCTAATTATCTAATAAAAATATAAGATGAATAAAACAAGTCGAGATGTTTTCCTCAAAAGGTGTATAGAAGAAAATGAAATGCGATGAGAGGAAGAGTCTATCTGATTTTTAAATATACGACACTTGGGCTAATTTTAGAAATACTTTTGCGACGCGCGTAATACGTCAAAGGAACATACTCGGCGCGCTTACTCAAGGTATTCGGAATGTTTTTTCATTCAGAATTAGCTGCCTGCCTAGTCTATATAAACGTCGAAAACGTGAAACTACCCACGCGTTCTGAGGTGACGCGTTCGTTATTCTCGCTGTCCACCGATGGCTGATTGATGAGCTTGCGATCAGCGTTCATTGTCATCCTCGTAGGCCACCTGTACTACTGAAATTTCGCAAGCGCGGACACGCTCTACTCGCATAGCATCCTCGCGAAATCGATGCACCGCGTCGCGAAACGCGTCCGACGTAGAATATTCACTCGCGTCTCCCACGTGTGTTTCCGGTTCTATCGCCTCAATCTGCTCCGCTTGGCGGAAAACGCCGGGAACCAAAGCCAAGCTCTTACGGTTTACGTATGTAAATGTACGCCCTCGAATGTTTTATTCCCGAGCTCTTCCTACAAGCTTTCCTCGATCGCATTCACGAGTTTCTCCTTTCGGCAAACTGTATCGAAAGAATAATTATGTCATTTTTAGGTCTGTATTCTTTTACGAATTTTACAAGTCTGAAAATTATTGCGCATTTCTCTAATCTTGCTTGAATTGCTCCAATAACTACAGATTTTGAAAAAAAACCAACGTTAAAATTACGAGGAAAGTAATATCAAATACATATCGATCATCGCTGACCAATATTGAAACTTTACTACATATTTCTGATTCCTCATCTTCCACACACGAGAATTTTCAAATTAATAATTTTCGCAAACATATTTTTACGCAAGTTTCCAAGAAATTAAAATAAATGTATCTTTAAATTTTGTTCTGTATTAATACGAGTTGTGCGTTTTACAAATTTATCGTATATATTTATGTATATTATTGCTATTTTTACTTTGAATGATTGCAAGATAGAATAATTATCACGAAATTTCCAACCGTTATAGTTGCAGGAAAGACAATGAAAAAAATTGAAAAAGGAAAAATACCCAGTTCTCCGAAGCAGAACATCGATCATCACGAGTGATCGGTATTGACAGTTGCTCAAATGCCCGCACTCAAGATATGTAAATGATGGGAAAGAAGGTCGCAGTTTATACGTGCGTCGCATCTGAAGACAACGGGAGCGGGATCAAACAAGAGGGAAAAACGGACAGCGCCTCTTTAAAAGCTCGTGGAGATTTGCACGAAGCGGAGCTTTCGAGATGATCGCGCGTCGAACGCTTTTACGTTCGTTTACGAACGAACCGACCGACAGACCGTTATATTTAGCGCCGTGACTAAGGACCTCCGTACCCCTCCAACCGATTAAGCTTGCAAACTCATCCATACAGCACCCTGTCTCTCTCTCTCTTTCTCGCTTTTTCACGCTCCGGTTTTTCCTCGTGCCACCAAGTCGCGCCCGATTACAGAATCGATTGCGCGCGATCGATCATGACCTCTTGCTTGATCCCGTTGTGCGAGTATAATGATTCATTCGTTTAATTATCGTTTAATTACACAGGCTCCCTTTGCTAATTAATCGCGGAGTTATGTTACAAATGTCCTCTACGGTTTATCCTTATGCCTAAGTAGTCTTAGACTCGCTATCTTCATTAATATCAGGGAGAGATGAAAGTACGTAATTAGAATCGATATTTTTCAGAGGATAAGCTACGTACTTATTTTTTATAATGTACAAACGTATATCTATATAATAATATAATGTTATATAATATATAATATCTCCTGAAATTTTCTTTTTATTCTTATTATGATTTTCTTATACAATTAGTGATTTCTTTCTTTCGTATGATTACATTTTAAACTTGCATATCTTGTAATTAAATTTTAAATCTATTTTGCACATTTATTCTTCATCGTTTATAGGGAAAAAATTGATCATTTTATATTCTAACCGTCCAATCACATTTGTGACAAACGATAACCGCGTAATTCCATTATGTAAGCTGATTATTAAGCAAGCTCTTTTAAGCGAGCACTTAGTTTTATGTGTGCTGTATATGTAATACTCGAGAGACAAATAAATATTTTGTAGACAGAATAATTTGTCGAGATTCGTTAATTAACTTTTCCGTAACTCAATTACACATTGTAAACGTGTACAGAACAGTTCCATAACCTTTCGTTTTCTAATTAGTATTAATTGCGTGTATAATATTGTCAATAATTATTGTTTGAGAGATAAACTCTATCGATATTACGGAATTATTTGTTGAAATTGTTATTCGTTATTATACGCAGAAAATTAATCGACTCCAATATATAAGTAATATGCGACGTTAAAATGATTTAAATAAATGCGTGTAAAAGTGTAAAAGATGCGACAAGATTCATCGCGACGACGTGATCAATTTGCAAAGTTTTCAGCAGATTCGACGAGACAAGGTCAGGAAGAAGTGCAACGTGGCCGTGACACCGAGAAGAGGAAACGCACGTTTCCTGATACTGGAACGTGTCGAAAGAGAGAAACCAGATGGTCCTGACATCCGAATGTCTTTTGACGATTCTTCGATTAGACATATATTTTTTAAAATATATTTACGATATAAATAAGATAAACTGAGGTAAGTACGCGGGAAAGATTAAATTCAGGCTGTCAAACAAAGCAAAGTTGATTTCCGAGCGTAATCGTCCAGGGATGTGAAGTGATCGACACTATTCAATTAATCCCTAAATACGCGCACAGAATCATTAAGGACTTTGTTCAGCAATCATCTTCAGCAACAGCAAGAAAAAAATCATAGTGTTGCAAACAATAATAAATTTAATAATAATAACTTGGATTTACAACCGTTAGAGATGATATAATTTTTTTTGTTAGAAAAAATATACAGACATATTTTAAATTTTGTAATTATATTACAAATAATTAGAGATCTTGAAAATTTTATAAATCAAATTTCAACAGTGAAAATAAAAGACTTATTCTTCATCTTTTCCGGCAAACACTTTATTATAACAACATTATAATTAAATATATGTAGTTGTAAAAATACGAAGAAAAAAATAAAGCATTAAAGATACGAATACATTATATTATATAACAAAGTCTTGTAATCCTTTTTCATTACATTAAAATAAAATTTCGATTAACAAGATTTTAATTAAAAGTCTCTAAACCAAAGTCTCTGAGATATTTAATATTCGCAAAGTTATGAAGAAGAAAGAGAATGTTCGGTCAAGTTTCTACAAAGAGGAAATCGATCTCAAAGAAGTCAAAGAATGTGAAAAAAAAGAGAAGAAAGTTTAGAAGAAAATCCAAGAGACAATAGACCACTGAATATAACGAGGCATATTAAATGCATCAAACCGTTAACAGCCTGTTGTGTTTAAAACCGTTCACGTACTTGCAAGTACTTATCCACGTGCCCTAAAGTGCCACGCGATCGCAAGTAAACACTTTCAACACGAGTTTATTCGCCGATGAGGCTCGAATAAAATTACAACCTGTTACACGCGACGGAGGCGTCGCGACGCGTCCGTAATTGCGCCCGCGCTACTTGAATTTTCGCCAAGAGAGAGAGAAAGGAGTGTAAATCGAAGTCACAGTATCGTTGGATCTTCCTTGAAAAATTCACACCTGCAATTCACGATTGAGTCGTTTATTTCGATGTAACGAAACAAACAGATGGCTTGAAATGATGCACATACAACATCGCGCGAATAAATTGAGAGATGATTTAACCCGCAAATCAATTACACCGAACGAGATAATCGTCGTAAGATAGAAATCTTTCTTGAAGAAACAAAATCACCAAGTTTTCGCTCAAAAAGTACAGGATCTACTTTATTGTCCCTTTCCGTGGAATTCTTCCTTCCATAAAAAATGCAATAATT